CTGAGTTCCAGGGCTGCAGGAGCACAGCTTCTGGGGAGGGCCAGTGAGGAGGCGCCTGCCAGCTGCTGTGGCCTCAGGGTGTTCTGGGTGATTACTTAGAGCAGCTCTGCCTGGAGTGTTTTCTTGCCCAGCAGAGGGGACACAGCTGCTCTCCAGGCCTCCCCCAATTCCTGGTGCAGAAGTGGGAGGGGGTGGAGAAGGGGGAGGAGCGAGGCAAAGTTGTGACTCTCACCACACCATACCACGCCCCACCCTTCTCGGTGTAGGTGCTTGCTGTCTTCACCCCTCTGAGCAGGACAGCACCCTCAGGTGGAGGCTGGGGAGGCCCACAGGAAGCTGAGGAGGGAGGTGGGCCTCCTACTTTTATCTCTGCCTTTGATTTCTAGCCAGGAAAGCCTGGTCTTTCTTTTGCAGTAGGGGTGGGTCTGGAGGCCCTTTTCCAGCTAGGACACATGAAGCAGCGCGACTTGCATGCTTCTCAGCGCCCGCGTTCCACGGGTCATCCTGTCCACAGCTCCTGGTTTCCATGCGCCCGCTGTGGCTGCAGGTTGTTCTGGTGGCTGGGTCTGTCTCCCACGATTGGCAGCTGTCAGGACTTTGGAGAAGCCCCTCCCCATTCACGAGTATACTAGCTCCCCAAAGTTCAGTGTGTTACCGCGGTTCGAGTCTGGCTGTCTGGGCTTTGTCTACATGGGGCCAAGTAGCCGCTCGAATCGCTCGATCAGTGTGCGTGCACTTACAGCTCGTGTTTCAGCATGCCCTAGGCTCTCCGTGTTCACCAGGTGCTATTTATGCTCACCTTTGCATCATTCAGCTTTTTTAACCTCACAATGGCACATGCATACCCACACCAGCATAGGGGAGGCCTCCAGATGGGGCTCCTCACTCTGTGAGCTCCTTCCCCCAGTCCTCCAGCGTGTCAGGACCCTGAGCGTGCACGTGCATTTAACGCATTTCTCATGAGCCTGACCCGGGATCCAAACTCACTGCTGGCCACGTGGCTTCCAGCACTGCGCTTCGTATACGGGCCATGCTACTGAGACTGCACCCACTGTTGCCCTTAGTGGCTCACGGCTACCGTTTCCTGTAGTAGGAAACGGTGCTGGTGGCAGGGTCCAGCTCACGGGCGAGGGAGAGTGACTTGTGTTGTACCCAAGATGCAGGCAGGCCCTGTCACCTTCTCTCACAGTAAAGCAAGAATGGGTGCTGCCGTGAAAGGGAGCTGTAGCTGCGGTGCTCTTCCGCGATCTCATCCCCCTGTAGGTTTTAGCGAAACGTCTCCTGTCCTCCCGTTGGTCTCCACTCTCCTGTGTATGGGTGGGGTAGGGGCCTGGGGTTCCAGCTGGTTCTCTGTTCAGGGGCTGAATTTGGTCCCGTGGACGATGCGCTTCTCATGCCCGAAGCCTACACACCCTTGACCGAGGCTGGCCTCTGGGTGGAAGTGCAGTACTGTGTGTGCTGGGGCTCCAGGGGACCCTCCTCGGAACCCGGTGGATCAGTGCTGCCCTGAGGCCTGGGATCAAGGGCGGGGTTTGGCCCAGATGGGCTCTTCTGTGGGACCCGCCCAGGAACCGAGTCCTAGGCCTCTCAGCCCTCAACTGGGAACGAGTGGACCAGCATGTTTCCTGAGCTGGTCTCTATGTGACCTTGGCTGACGAGCGCAGTGGCGAATGGCGTCTGAGCTGGGTTGGTGAGCACCTCCAGGGCTTGGGGAATGCAGATCCTGGGCCCACCTCCTGCCACTGGCCAATGACATGCAGTGAGCATCTCAGCCGCCCTGAGCCTGCGTCTCTGGAAGGAACTTCTCATCTCTAGGATGTGGGAGCAGGCACCAGGTGGAGGACTAGCACCCCAGGTCTTCAGGACACCCTTTCTTTTACTTTTTTAGAGGTTTCTGCCTTAGGGTATGTACGCTCACTGGGGGAGAGAGAGAGGGAGACAGAGATACTAAGACAGAAAGCGAGAAATCACCCCCCTGGGGGGATGGCCACGCTGCAATCCCTTCTCCTCCATTCTCCTCTCGGGATCCTGGGCACGCACGCACACGTGCACCCAGTGTGGTTTTCAAGCCACCGGATCTGGGACTTGAAGGTAGGGTCAGCCATGTGGGAGTCCAGTGACATAACCACTATGCCATCTGCTGACCCCCAGGACGCCCTTGCTTATTTAGCCTGCTCATGTCAGGGTGCGACAGGCAGTCAGCAGACTCCAGGCTCTGTGGCAAGAGGCTGACCAAGAAATTCTTTCCAAATGCAGCTGCTTTTTAAATTTTAAGTTTGCTGTAGGGTGCGTGCACTCACGAGAGTGGGGGGGAGGAAGCAGCATTCGGGGGATGGCTGTGCTGCAGTCCCCTATTCTCCTGTCAGGATTTTGGATATGTGTGCATACGTGCCTGGCATGTTATGTGTTTCAGGCCTGGTGTGTTCTTCAAGCTGCTGAGTCTAGGACTCGAACCACATAGTTGGCCGTGTGGGTTCCAGCTACCTTAACCACTATCCCACAGGCTGACCCACACTACTTTCATTGTCAGGTTGACTGGGAAATGAGATTTACCCAAAAGCAGAAGTTTGTTGTTGCTATTGTTTTTGGTTAAATTTGGACTCATATTTTTCTGTCCTTCACAATTTAATGACACCTTTACATTAAAGTACTTTATCTAAGGAAATAAAAAGCAATAAATTAGACTTTATGTTGTCTTAATCTGTTAGCTTATTTTTATACTCCTCTTCATAGCAGTGGTTCTTAGTATTTTTTGACATTCATCTCCTTTGAAGGTGGGATGCAAGACTGCTTTTGAGGTTCGACCTGACCCCCCTTTTTTTGACCAGTAAACTGTCTGTAGCTGCTTTTCTTTTTAGTTGTAAAAATGTGTAGAAAAGGAAAATGAGTATTTAAGACTCCTGCTTTAGCAGTTAATGTCCCAGACAGTTTTTAGGCACCTAGATCTCAAAAGACAGCATGGTTGATGTGAGTGCTCTCACCCTATTTGGTAAGAAATCGTCATCGTAGTCATTGTCGGCTTCCAGAAGACAGTGTAAAGTTAGACTGCATGTGAGCACTTGTGGGTGCTTGCTGGGGTCCTGTTTGCAGCGAGGTCTGGCGTCGGGCTCGGTCTGTGTTGCACCTGTGACCTATCAGATAGAAGAATCTTAAACTAAGACATGATTGGTCGGAGATGATCGGCGAGTGTCGCGCCACACACATGCGTGTCTCTCTCTCTGCGTACGTGACAGTGGACAGAGACGGAGTCCTTGGGTCAATTTAGCGGGGGTGGAAATCCTACCCTGGGCATTCGAGAGCCGAGCTGGTTTTCAGTAAGAACTCAACCTAGATTCTGTTTGTGTGAGATTTGAGCTAATAGGATTTGGAGTAGGTTGGAATTTTGGCAACCACGTTAAGAAAAATATGAACAGCCGTGTCCTGAGCTTGGGGAAGCTCCCCATAGCAGACTGCTTTCTGAGGCCAGCCGCTGTCGGCATGCCACCTGCGTCCCCTCCCGCAAGGTGTCCTGTAGCGCTACATGAGCGTGTCCAAGGTCAAGCCAAAGCCCAGGGAGTGTTTCCACCTCCCCTTCCTGACTCTTCACTCTCTGCCTCTTCTGAAAAAGATATTCAATGGGTTTTTAAGGATATTTTCCTGGGTGAGTCTTAGACAGAAATTTAGTATGACATAAAATCTGGAAATTGTTTCACTGTTAAAGGAGACCCCTCTTTTTCCCTCCCTATTAACAGAATTGGAGAGCAGAAGGCAGGGTGAGGTGCCTGACCAAGCTTTGACCTTGTGTAGTCCAGGCATGTTCCTTTCATTCCTTGAATATCCGTTTTAAGTTGCTGGGTCTGGGACTCAAACCATGGTCGGCTACGTGAGAGTTCAGTGATGTAACCGTTATACCATCTGCTGGCCTACCTTTTCAAAGCTTTTATCCCAGGATCTTCTTTCAGTGTTAGAATTACTGAAGACCCCAAAGGGCTTTTGTTTATGTGGACTTTTTACAGACTTAGAAATTAGAACGGAAGGACCAGTAGTTAGTGTAATGGCTATGTCGCTGGACTCCCATGTAGTCGACCGCGGTTTGCGTCCCAGACCCAGTGGCTTAAAACTCACACCGGGCGCGTGTGCGTGCGTGCCCAAGATCCCGAGAGGAGAATGGAGGAGAAGGGATTGCGGCGTGGCTCCCCCTCCCCCGGGGGGGCGTGATTTCTCGCTTTGTGTCTCTCTGTCTCTCTCTGTCTTCCTGGTGAGTGCATGCACCCTATAGCAAAAACCTCTCCAAAAAAAAAAAAGGAAAAAGAAATGAGAACTGAGAAATTTAAAAGTATTCATTAACATATTAAAGTTAGGGGCCAGCAGGTGGCATGGTAGTTAAGGTATTGGACTCCCACACAGCTGACTACAGTTTGAGTCCCAGACCTGGCAGCTTGCTTTCTCACTTTCCTTCTCTCTCTGTCTGTCTCTGGTGAGTGCATGTACCTTATAGCAAGTTAAAAATAAAAAAAAGATAAATAAAATTAAATGTAAAGAATTAAAGATAAGAAAGACCCCGTTATGTCTTGCTATAAGTAATATCTTTATGGCTGATAACATTGAAAAGCATTTTTGTGTTTATTCATGACAGAGCGTGTGCATGCACAGTGAGAGAGAAAGGGGGGGCACCCTCCACAGGGTCTGTCAGGCCACGATCCCCTTCAAATCAGGGGGACTCACATTTGTGCCCAGTGTGTCTTAGGCTGACTAGGCCAGGGATTCGAACCATGGGTCACCATGCAGAGTCTAGCTTCTCTTGAGCAGCACATTACAACTGTACCATGGCGCCTACCCGACTGATAACATTTTTGAAGCAAAAAATGTCATGAGCAGGGTGGTGGTGTCCACTGTTAGAAATCTCGGTATCAGCCAGCTTCCTGCTGGGTCAGCAGAGAAGGCATGGCGCATTTTTGCATAGACACCCGAACAGCAGGCAACTGCTCGGGCATTCGGCCTGGCGTGTTCTGTCACTTGGGCTGACTGTGTGTAGGAAGTCTGGCTGCCTCATGGGACTCCTGGGAGAGTCTCGGGGATCCTCTGGCGCCTTTGGACCCCACTGTGGTGCGGCACTGAACTTCAGAACCGGCTGTGCAGTGGCGGTAGCTGCGAGGCTGTGTCAGTCGGCAACGCCGTGGGCCTCGCCGCGTGCCCGAGCGGGGAGCAGGGCGCGATCTGCCGCACCGGGAGACGCAGCACAATGAGTGCGCTTGGTCGCTCGCCGGAAGCCCGCTGTCCTGCTTGCCCGCCTCTTCCCGCCGGCGGTGTCCTTGGTGGTAGCTGATCTGCTGGTTGCTCTCCACTTGCCTTCCGCTACTTGATCTAGGCAGCATGCCTTCTCTGAGCTGGAGATTGTGGACTCTGTTTTCACAGGTAATAAAGTTAAGGACTGAGAGGCGAGGCATTTGTCTGGGGCCACACAGCTTGTGATAAGTGGCAGGGAATCCCGGGTTACTGTCACAGCCATCCATTTCTGGTTTCCTCTCACTCCCACTTTAGCCAAGCTCCCTAAAACCCCTAGGCATGTCCCCCTCCCTGCTGCTGGAAAGGGTTTCTGCCGTGCCACATGTCACAGCGCCATCATTTCGGGTTGTCACCGAAGGGTGTCTCCTTCCGGGGGCAAATGAAGTGCATCACACACGTTCAGCCACTGGGGGTGGAAGACTAGCCTGCCTGTCCTTGTGCGTGCCCCTCTGCACAGCACATCCGCCCCCTGCACCCTGCCGCTCAGCCCG